CAAAAAAAAAAAAAAAGTTTTGCTTTGTTGTTGTTGTTGTTTTTTAACAGCAGATAGACCTCTCTATGTGTATCATTTAGGTTAAAATTTAAATTTACATCTAGTATCCTACTAGATGATGCCACACATTCAGATTTTTCTTGTGATCATGTATGAAAACTCTTCCCGACGGACCTTCTTTGGCTTCCTAGCTTATTAATACCCACAGTAATGATTGCAGCCCCTCCATTGTTGTGGAAATACAGAATTCTTTCATATATCTTATCCAGCATGATTCTACTATCAACCCTAGACATTACATAGGGCAGTTTTTTTCATTAAAATTTCATGAGAAGTTTAGAGGTTGGCCTTGGGTCAGTTATAATGCAGAGGAGGGTTAAGTGATTTGCCTGAAATCACACAGTTAATGTATCATGTAGCTGAAACTGAGGCCCAGGGATTCTTGCACCATCACCTTTGTTGTGATCCCTCATTGGCCCTTAAAAATGACCAAGAAGTCCGTGATCTCCTGTTGGCCCTAGATCTCACATAATAAATAGTATGTTGGAATTACTGTAAGAGTCAAACCTGGGATACCTTTAAAAAATAAGGTGTGCTTTTGAAGCATGCAATCTGTATGCCTTGTAATTTTTATTCTAACTTTTTCAAACGTAGACAGTCTCAGTGCATTGTGGACTACTTCGGCCTTTATCGGTGCATTTGAGCTACTGTGCAGGTTTATAATCTTCTCAGTGGCTGAGAATGCTGTGTTTTGATCGGCTGTGATATTATCCCTGCTTTGCTGTTCATTGTAAAGACTCCAGATGCGCACACTATATATAATTAACAATAGAAGATATATCTTTTCTCAATACGTCTTTGTCTCCCTTCATCATTTTGCCTTGTCTGTTTTCTTTTGCCAAAAAGCCCATGCTACAATTAAATGTCTTTAGAATAACACAGTGAGAGTATTTTAGTTTAAAGGAAACACTGGGGGAAATTTTAGTTAGAAACATGAAGCTTGCTGTGGGGGTAGAGGGAAGAAAGGCAAAGTGCAGCTTTGACTTGAGGAAAAGAGAATCATTTGCTAGGAACCTTCCCTAGCCCAGCCACCAAGCTACCATTTACTCATGAACAATGGCTGGCCCCCATTTGCAAAGCAGATGTAAATCTGACCCCCCAAAGAATGGACTGGAGGTTGTCATTGTGTCAGGTATAATGCCATGCAGGAAGTCCAGTCCCGAGATGAAAGCAAAGTAATATTTAATGAACAAAGAAAAACATCAAACCTTTTATGTGTTGGGGGACTGTTGAACTTGGCTTCTGAGTAGGAGCCATTCAGAGCACAACTAAGCTAAGAATCCATTCAGCGGTCATTGGGACTGACAGGCCTTCAGATAGGATCCTTGTTAAACAAGCACCCTGTGGCAAAACTTCAGAAGGCCACCTAGTCTTTCTGCTTCTAACACTCAACATGAAAAAAAGAGTTGACATTTTGGTGAAAAGACTACAGACTGTGAGCTCTGGGTACATGCAAAGTAGCCCCAAGGAGCACAGTGGAAGACAAAAGGTGGTGGAGAGGACCTCTTCACTAAAGAGGAAACCATGGGCAGAGTGTGTCCTGGGCAGATACAGGAACCCAAAGTGCAGCCACCAAAGATGGGTGCTCTACAGTGGATTCACATCTTAAAATGTTGAACCCCTCTGTAATAACCATCGTCCCCATCCTAAATTAGCACATACTGCCTTGTCCAGACAAACCCACTCTCCAGTGTTGCAGTCCCCAAATTAAGTTAGCAACCATAGTAAGATAATTTTCCAATAATAACTTTTCACAGTTTCCTGCAGCATCAAAGTACGATCAACATGTCAAGTTCTGTTCTGCTGTGAGAGAAGAGAATCCTGTGAAAATGACTTGGAGGTGGGGGGAGAGAGAGATTGCTGCAGTTTCTTTCTAACAACAAGAAAGTCCCGCCCTCCACCTCCCACAGCTACACGGGGTCCTGAGCCTCCAAGTAGGGGCTTGTTTTGGCTAATGAAGGCCTTTTCCCATCTGGGACATTTGTTTTCATAGCAAAGGAGGCTGTTAATCAGTATATTCCAAAAAAGCCAATGAGCTCTCCAGTTTTAGTGCTTGTTTCTGCTGCCCTGCTGCTAGGACTGTAATGGGATTTTCACAGCTGAAGAAGGCAGAGCCCTTTTTCCCCCGCCCCCTCCACCTTCTTCCAGGAAAAGGCATTTGTGAATGATTCCACATGACAGCAACATGTGCATGACTTGAAGTCTAGTAATTGTTTTCACACTAATTTTTACTTGTGAATACCCCTCCACACACACCCAAGTCAGGCAAGATTTTTAAAAATAGGGATGTAGGTAGACAGAAAGACAAAAAGCTCTCTGGTGTTTCTATGTTTCAGGCATAAATAAATTTACCAAGAAGCTCCGAAATCCCTTTGCCATCGACAATAATGAGCTACTAGACTTCCTCTCCAGGGTTCCTTCCGACGTTCAAAAGGTATGTAATGAGTGCTCACCAACAACAGGGGCTCCAACACTGAGTTCTAGGCAGCCGCAGAGCTAAAGGACCACAAGACTCTGCTTATGTGAGTAATTGAGATAAGGAATCTGAAAAGCCCTAAAGAGGCCTGGCTTGCAGGGAGGTGGTATTTAAAAAAAAAAAAAAAAAAGGGCAGCTTTGTCCAAAGCATGAGATGATTGGGGGAAATTATCCTGAAAAAGAGCTACTAAAGAATGATCTGGAACTCATACCGTGCAGCTGCAGTGTGCTGATGCTTGGCCCTTTTTGATTGCTTACCTCCTTAAAGAGGACAAGATGGGCTCAGTAAGTGCAATTGCAGGAGATCCAAACCTGAGGAGTGATACTTATTTTCTTCCTTTTTCCGGATGGCAGGCATTTATAGGGAATAGGGAACAAGAGGATTATTCTTTTTATTCTTGTTTGCCCTGATTATCTCCTGGGCCTCCCTTCTATCCCCTTTCCTGTAAAGACTTAAAGATGGTAAGGGCAAATCCCCCACTTACTTTGCTACATGGAGAGGAAGAGACGGCATGAGATAATTTGAGATCAATCACAGGTATTATTCACAGGTAATGGTCACTTAATCCAGCAGCGTCTCATTTCTGTGGATGCTCGGAGATTAATGAAGACAACAATAAGAGAAAGTCCCGAAGAATAGCTCAACGTGGGTCCCTGCAGATTAGCCTGGTATAAATCCTGAGGAAGGAAGGCAGGCAGCAATTTCACTAATGAAGAATAGGTTGATGGGGAGACATTGGATGAAATATCATCGAAGATAACAATATTGTGTTATCTGAGAGAATCCCAAATCAAGTATCAGTTTTCACCATTGGGCCACTGTGACATAGTTGTTCCCCAGCATCTGAGCGGATCATGGAGAAATAGGGCTTAAGGTCTTAGAGCTCCTTTCCCCTTCATTTCAAGTTCTGGAGATTAAAATTGACTATTTTTCTCTTTAACCTTCACTTTATAACTGTTAAAGAGTAAATTCATCTTCCTAGAATGTATTTTAACATTTAAATTGTATAATTCAAAAGTAACCTTACTTCTGTTTTGCACTGAAGACTGACAGGTATGTCATTCTCTGCTCCCCTAACTAAACCGTTACAAAACACTGGAAGAAAACGGTGTGTTTTTTTTGTTGTTGTTGTTGTTGTTTGTTTGTTTTGTTTTTCTTTTATCTGTTTTTGGCAAAGTATAGACTAACCTGTGATTGGGCCTCATGTCCTTGGGGAGATTAGCACAAATGCTAAAAATAGTGAACACATGTGGTCTGTAATACAATAGCTTAAATAAAGGCATTCCACCAGCAGCCTACCAAAGCTCACACACCAAAGCAATACATTTGCACTGTCCCATCACTTGGGCCGCAGTGTGAGTTCATACACTATCCTTGAAGAATAGCAATTTCCATCAAGCCCCCAAGGGTTGTCTGTGCATGGTCCAAGCAACAGCTCTGAGCAGTCATCCAGTTGGAGTTGGCATGAACACAGAGATATACAACAAAAGAGCATCTGAGAAGGACACGCAGCATGCTAGTAAGATCCTCCCCATCTCACCAAGGGCAGTGTCTAATAACACCTTGACAGTGTGCCCCTGGGGAATCACCAAGCACTCATATTTATCACAGATGTTTTAGCCATTATATTGTAAATGAAATTAATTTTTAAGAGAAATCTATAATAAAATCTGGTACCCAGTATCAATTTCAGCATTTTTCCCCTGTTAGACAAAATAAATGTCCATAATTGGCTGCGATTTTTTTCCCCAAGATTTTAGATAGTTTTAAATGAATAATTCTAAGTTGCTATATCATATACTAAGATAAACATTCCCAAGAGGCAGTTATTAAACTTACTTATGGTTGAGAACTGACGCGCACAAAATTAAGATCATCTAGCAGTGCCCAGAGCAGGTAGAAACCCATGCATCTCATTAGAAAAATCTGCTTTTAATATTTTGGTTTCAAGAAATGATGCATGACTTCTCAAATCCTTCCTGCAATTAATCCCTCCATGTTCCTGTGTTTAGAAAATGATTCATTACCTTTGAACCTTCCTTCCTTTGCCTTGGTTTGTCCTTGGGGAGCCATTAACACACTCTGTGGTGAGCTAGGGTTACCTAACTGCCAGCAACACGTCTGTTTGTTTTCACAGGTGCAGTATGCGGAATTGAAACTCTGTGGCAGTGGCAGCCCCCTTCGGAAGAAGCGCAGCGCTCTCTAAGATGCACACAGACTTTTGACTCTAGCCTCCTATATTGTGCACTCGGTCAGACCAATGTCACGGCTATTTCAGTGGTCCTCTGGGACCTGAAGTGTGTGCCAGGTGGAGACCATGATATATGCTCTTCTCTTCTTTATGTGCACAGATGCCGACACTCCTGTGCCCACCCCTCCACACGGGGTGTTCTATCATTTGCATAGATGTCCATCCCAGCAAAAGAAACCAGTTCTGAGATTATGAAAGACACATCCATTCTGAAATAGGAGTTGAAGCAAGGCTCCCATGGATCTGAAGTCCCTCCTTAAGACCAACCAAGAGACCACTTGGGTTTGAGAGTGACAAACTGATTTTCACACCTTCAACAGATTCTGAGATTCAGTTACTTCTACTTCCCACCCCCACCCTCCTTTCAGATTGTCATTCATGCAAGTTTCATCTGAATTAAGTCTATGGTAGCTATCTATTCAAATAATGTATATTACAAAAAGATTTTATAATAATTAACATAGTTACACCCAAATCTTTAGCAGTCACTACCATGAACATATATGTAAATTTTTGGAACCCCTTGGTGCTGGATACCAGCCTACATTATGGTCCATTGCTGGCAATGGATGCCCCAGGAGGTCCCAAGGGACCACTCTTTGGAAGAATTAGGGTTTTCTGAAAGTATTTGGCTGCCTTAAAAAGCCATTTCTTCTCACTTTATTTATTTCCAAATAAAATGTCAATAGCTGGCTTCTGAAAGGCGGGGTTTAGGTGATGAATAAATGAATTCTGAGTATTTAGAAAGATAAAGGTATGAAGAGAAAAACTAATAAATCAGGGTGTTCCCTAAATATAATCATTTCATTTCCTCCAATGTTTTGGACAGAAAGTTAGAGTATTTTGATGGTCCAAATTTATTTTTGGTTCCCCTTCTGGTAAAAGTAAGCCATCGGCCATGAAAATTTTAGAACCCTGTTCCTAGAATGTAGCACCCCAAATTCCTCTTTTGCTGGCATTTGATTCCTGTATACCCCACAATTCCTCAGTAATCCCCTGAAAAATCTTGATTTTGTGCATATATAAAATATATGCAAATCTTTCTGTTCAAATAATATTTAAAGTTTAAAGAATGTATTTTATTGACACATACTTTGTATGTGCAATTTTATATATGTATATGTATTGTAAAGTTGAGGTAAAAAGACCTAATTTAATAGTGAGTTTACTATGGTATTTTTTTTTTTGTTTCTGGGTTGTAATTTAATAATCTCAAACAAAATGTTTATGAAAAATGCCAAAGACTCTAAACCTTATCATCTTGTGTCTGTTTTTCTTCATATTGTATCTTCCTGGGTTTCTTTCTGGCTGAGCCAGATTTCTGCATGATTTGATTTACTTCAAGTTAATGAAGCTGGCTGGAAAAGAGCCTTGCAGAAATTATAAAAGCCCCAGTAAATCTCTTAGTTGTACATACAATAGATACCCAAGAACCTCTTTTGTTAAACCGGTTACTCAATCTTCTGTGTAAACAATGCCTCATTGTCTTGCTCCCAACTATCATCCAGTTTATCATAGTCTGTCATTTTGTAACGACCTAAGTCAGACATTTTTAAGCAGACATGTGAGATCTGATCAGTCATTTCAATGAAAACTTTCAGCAGCAAAATAACCCCTTATTTATTTAAAAGTGGAACCAATGCTTTATTGTTGTTCTTTTGCTATATAATTTCAAAATGAAACCATTTTCCCTACAAGAAGGCATCATTAGTTAGATGTTTTTCCTCTGTAGCCTGACTGGAATTCTCAGCCTTAAGTTTAGGACACAAACATTAGCTGAGATATAAGATCAGGACCAAATCAACCTTTAATAGATTGTATATGGAAAACATTGCTAATTGATTAAATAGA